CGAATGTGGTAATGGTACTTGTTAGTCTCTCAAGTGCACTTTGCGCGTCCTCCATACATTCAAACAGACAGACGTTATCGGCGTACTCCAAATCGCAGTTTTTCTTCAGCTGCCCATTCAATGCTTTCGTTTTGGAGTCCACTTAGTGCTTTGTCCGGTATTTCGTCCACGACGACATTGAACATGAACGGCGAAAGAGGGCACCCTTGACGAACGCCGCTGCTGGTGACGAACGTCCTACTTAGTTCGTTATAAACCCTTACACGACTGGAGGTATGTGATTCCGGTGTCCCATTTTGTATATCGGTGATATGATTGCCTTTTTCCAGGCATCAGGGAATTCATCTTTATCTAGGCAGTTCGGAACAGCCCCCTGTAATGAGGGGCTAGTGCAGCCCGTGCCTCTTTGACCATTCTCGGATGGACCTCGTCTGGGCTCATTGAGCTAAAAGGGTTTAGTGACTTCAGATGTTTCAGTACTTCTCCTGTTCTAACAATGAAGTGCTCAATGGGGCTATACCTGACTTAGGCTGTAGAGAAGGGAGGAAACTAGATGGAGCAAAATTGAGAATCTCTTGGAATTGAGTTCGAAGGTATCCGCTTTCTAGTCAGGTGAGGTAATTAGGCAACCGTCAGGAAGTTTCAGGGATAGAGTAGGGGAACTGGGTCGCCTTCTTTGGTGAAGAAGTTTAAAGAGGCAGGAGGGGTTCCTTCTTGCCCTGACCAAGATGTCCTTTTGTTGTCGGTTGAAGAACCCCATAACCTTAATCTTGCATAGGTTCCGGATATATTTGAATTTATCCGCGTCACGATTCAGTTTTGTGGACTTATACCTTGCAAAGAGGACGTTCCGTTCGTCCAGAAGTAGACGTATTGAACGTGGTAGAGGAGTGTGGCTTTTGGTTGGTGTAAATAAACAAGCAGTCACCTGTTCGGAGTACGTTCTCAATTTGACCATTGAGTTTCTTAGGACGAAATGAGGCTCTTGCCAATCGCGCGTCCAATTCGTTGTGCTGTGGGCGAATGTTCTGTGCTTCCAGCACTGCGTTTTAGATTGTCCAATGGGTTCCTTCTTAACCGAAACAGTTTCCACTTGTGGAGGTCTTCACAACCGGTGCTGTAAAAGAAGAAGAAGAGTTGTCTTCTCGGCTGCTCGGTGAGATACCATCATTAAAACTATTCCATTGGTGCGTATGCACCGTACACGTTATTACATAGGGCAACCCTTCACGTTGAATTTCCCCTGGCTTGCATCTGCTTGTGTCCGTTGATGCCAGAAGAATAACTGTTTAAGATGCCAACCTCCAGGTTAGGGTCTGAAAGGCTCCACAACCGATTGGTTGAAGACATTAGATATGGCTACGGCACCCACTGGAGCAAGTGGTCAACCTCCATAGAGTACGTTGGTCCGGGCATATGTTACGCATGTCACCAGATAGGTTGCCACGGCGAGCGATGTTTGCCGAGGCAGTTAGTGGGCGTAATAAGCCCAAGGGTGTTCAAGCTAAGACCCGACATGAGGCTATGAAAACCCTAACCAATATTCTCGGTCATATAGGTCCAGTTAGGCTTCCTGACTGGGGACCTCAAGATGATGGTTAGAGGCACTGAGTGATATCGTTGAGTGTCGTACACAGTAGCGGTCGTGTATCTTCTCAATTTCTTTTCCACATCCGTCCACTGAAATTCTCCATTATCTCTTTGACTTTACTTCCAACTTTCCTGTCTTTCTCCTACTGTTCATCCAAAAGGGCAACCAAAACCCACGCACTAAAAAGTGCGTGGTAGATGGCTGTTCAAAGTGAAGCTGAAAACCGGGAGAAAGTATCTTCGAATTTATCTGAGCTACTGTAGTAGATTATCAATCAACGAGATGCTCTGAGCACAACAGGAGAGGTAGGCCGTATCGTAGGCTTTAATCAACTGAATAATGAAGGATATTGCAACAATAGGAAAGATGGTTGATATAAGTGCATATAATACACATACAACGAATAATACGAGAATTGTAAAATGAAGTAGAGTTCCGATACTTTACAGCTACAGTTAGTGGGTGCTTCGAGGAGGAAGAAGAGCCTCATCTTCATCATTGTACAGCGCAATACATTGGAGCGAACTTCAAAGACCCCCTGCGAAACATGATGCACGCACGGTAAGTGAGAATGTGTAAGGAGGATACAGAATGGGCCCATTTTTAGCGACGGGGAACGAAAGCGAATCTCTGTAGTCAACACAGAGTAGACAGTCCAACTGTGGATACATACTATGTCAAGCATTCTGGTGTGATGAGAAGTGACAGCAAGATCGCCTTGATGCCGGTTCGCAGCCATGTCTCCAACCATGCGGTTTTGGGGTCTTTTGAACCCCATCCCGGAGGACGAGAGACACTCACTCTACCTAATCGCTCTGTGCATTTCGTCATGCATCGTCTTCACGTCATCTGTTCACCTCAATATGGCTTTCTCCAACCTGCAACAACCACTGCGAATAAGATGCGCTGCGGTAGGCGACCGTGGGACGTACGCAAAACGTGTCCTAACCAACGGAGTCTATGGAGCTCAATTCAATGCGGCAGTGGGTTCTTGTTCGATACATTCTGACACCCAAGGACTTACTTCTACGTTGCTAACCCGCTGACTCCATCCCACTTGGGCCGGACTACGTGAGCATTGATTGTCGAAGACCACTGCTCGACGGATGTAATTTCCCCGTACGTTCACGTTCTCACAACCGTGAAGCAGAACTGATTGTACGGTGGCGCAGTACACGCGACTTTTCGGCTTCAGTGGAACGTCACGTCGCTGCCACAGGTGTTTAAGTTCAACGTACACTGCTCGAGCCTTAAAAGTGCGGGCGGTTATGTCCTTTTATGCACTACCATCGTTGGTCAAGCAGCTACCTAAGTACGAAAAGCAGTCAACTTCAGCTAATTCCTGACCGCTTAGTTTCAGAACTCCGCAACACCTAGTCTTGTTGCATCACTTTGCACTTTGAAGGTGCAAAGCTCATACTGAACGGAGCAACAGAACCTGATAATCTATCAAGTGCTCTTTGTGCATCCTCCATACATTCGAACATGCAAACGATGTCGTCAGCATACTCCAAATCTCAGAGCTTTTCATCAGCTGTCCATTCAGTACCTACATTTTGGAGGCCACTTAGACCACTTAAAGCTTCAACTGGTGGAGAAGGATTCGGTGAGAATTGTAGGCTATTCGAGGCACGACGCGAAACAATAGGCGCGGGATTTCTTCTTTTTTCTTTTTCTCGCACATTTATGTGGTGAACAGCAGACGGGGCGAACCCCTTAGTCACGAAGACCCGTCTGCTCCGTCATGGAAACTGGTAACCTAAGCCCCGTGACCCGGAATAGCGAACAACATCAAGCATCAGATATCCGGTTGTCTGCAAAGGGTCGAATGTCTGCCGCAGCAGTTCGGCCAGTTCTGCTATATGGAGCAGAAACTTGGCCATTGAGAAAACAGGACAAAGATAGACTCGGTGTTTGAACACCGCTGTCTACGCAGCATTGCACGAATCTGGTGGGGGAGCCGGACGAACAATGCTGAGGTTAGGCGCAGAGTTTTAGGTAACCGCGGTCATCCACTGGAGCAAGTGGTCGACCTCCATAGATTACGCCGGTTAGGACATGTGTTACGCATGTCACCAAATAGGTTACCACGGCGAGCGATGTTTGCTGAGGCAGGTAGTGGGTGGAAGAAAGTCAAGGGTGGCCAAGCTAAGACCTGGCACGAGGTTATAAAAACCCTGACCAGGAGACTAGGTCACATAGGTCCTGTTAGGCTCCCTGGCTGGGACCTGGAGAAGATCGTACCCGATGGTTAGAGACACTGAGTGATATGACTGGGTGTCGTAAACAGTGGAGTTCTTGCATCTTTTCAGTTTCTTTGCAGCCATAGTTTACTGGAGTTCTCAATTTTCTCTTCGACTCTACCTTCAACTTTCCTGTTCATCTCCTATTATTCATCCAGATGGGCAGCTAAAAGACAACAGGTGTACGGCACTCGCCGATGGGAAACAAACTGGATCAGCATATACAAGAATCTTGCAGCCAACTCTCAAGCATGGATATCGGCCGTCAGAGACATTCATGGAGCCGGCTTATTCTTTCCAAGGAGCCGGCCGTAGTAAAGTAAACCAAAACTGGCACACGAAAGTGCATGGTTAATGGTTGTTCAAACTGAAACTGAAACATCAAGCCCCGATAGGTTAGGCGTGGTATTGACCCGGACGACTGCAAAGCTGAGGCACAACTAGTGGTATAATCGTCTGAAGATCCTGATGACACTGGAAATGTTTGACTGAGTGAATGTGAGGACGTGGTAAAAGTGGGAAATAAAAAGACGTTTTTCTATGGAAGAGGAAAACCGTATGAGCGAATTATTGGACAAGTTGTAGTTCATTTTTCTGCGGTTGGTTCTGATTTAATGTTGTAAGGCCTTCAGGTTTGCGAGTACCATGCATCCGTCGCCTGGAGGTTTTCGACAATCGAAGCTTACTTAGTCCGGCCCAAGTGGCTTGTTAGTCACCCAGATATAAGTCGTCGGTGTTTGTAAATGCATCAAAAAAGGACCTTGCTGTCGCATTAGATTCAGCTCACTAGGCCCCGGAGGTTAGGACACGTTTTGATTATGTCTAACGATCGCCCACCGCACTGCGCCTTTTTTGCAGTGACCGCTGCAGATTAAAGAAAGCTACATGAAGGAAAACAGATGATGTGGATACAATGCATGACGAAATACACAAAGCAGTCAAGTAGAGTAGATATCTCTCTTCTGGGTTGGGGACCAAGGGTCTGTAACTGGATGTCCGGAGACTGAAAGGCATTTGAGTGAACTGATAGCAGTAGTGATCTTACTGTCACTTCTCATCAGTCCCGATTAGTTGAAAAAGTTTGTATGCACAGCTGCTTCAACTTGGTGATGGAATCGTTTCGCCCGGATAATTGCGTTTTCTTTTTTTTCAGCTGTAATTATATTATGTGGTACTTATCGTACCTGCTTGTTTCTTTGGTTGTTTATGTTATCGGAGCTTTTGAGTTCTTTGATGAGGAACTGTTGATCAAGGATACTGGCACTGGCCACACCGTATTTCACTTCAATTTTGTTTCAAAAACTCCACAGTTCGAACAAACCAGTAAGTGAAACACTTTACCGGTCATCTCTTTACAGAACAACATTATGATATCATTCCGAAAACCATGTTTCAATTGTTCTCAAAGTATTCCATTGATGAATTACATCTATCAATGGTTCGGGGCTACTGGGACGATGAACGATGGGGTAGAAATTTCATTATGGCGGCTCCGACGGGTGCAGAACTATGGGCCTGGTTCACAAAAGATACCTCAAAGTAATACTGAATAGCTATGATATGATTGCATTTTTAGCGTCGACCAAGCCTGGTTTGAACTTACTCATCTACTTTCTGGCCAATTTTGTGCTTCCTTGGGCAAACTATCCACTCCACAGTACTCCGTTCGTCCCAGGTGGTCATATAGACCTCTGGGCGTGACAAAGTTGAATGGGTCAAGGGAAGATGCTCGTCGTGTGCGCTACGCGCAGATGCCCGGCGAAGGCTTATGCAATGAAAATCTCACACCTTGGGTCAAGCTTCTACCGTGCAAGGGTCTCAAAGGATTAACCAGCTTATTGTTACCTACTGCTTTGTTCCGCTCAAACTTTAATGCTATCAAGACAGATTTACGTAGAATCTGCTGGGTTTGTGTTGTGCTTTCTTACTTTATTCTTTACTTAATTCAGGACTATTCCTGCTCCAATTTGGGTTTCGAACTGAGGCAGTCGTTGACTGTTGTCTTTGATCGACGATTGTTGTACCCAACCCCTCTAAGTAAGTCAAAATTCAGTTGTTCCAAGTGAGTTTGCCTCGGGTTATTTGGTTTTCTCTTTTCTCACTGCAAGTGATCTGACTGCGCGTGGTAATCTCAGTAATCCCTATCTTGATAAGTAACATAGAGCGAGAACCCATCTGGCAACATACCTAACTTATGCTGCAGGCATCACAATGGATAAAATTTACTTTCCAGCAAGTTCAAGTTTGGGACTACTGTGACTAGGACTTCGTAACCAACCTAGTCAAGGGTCTGGCGGTATGAATGAGTAAACAGTGACACTCGTGCATTCACCCACTTTCTACGTGGACGTAGTTGACTTGTTTTCCGTATCCTTTTTAGTGTTCTTACCGGTTAATCCTTTCGTTAACTATTTTGTCATTGTTATATCGAACGGGGAGCCTCAATGGAGCAATTAAAGCCGTCGTCCAGCAGAGCACGGTCACCAGTTTTAAAAGCTAATGTGACAGATGAGAAGTTGAAGAGACCTACAAAACGTAAGTATTAAGTTGTCAGACGGGGGAGCCGATGAAGAGCCACATGATTTCGATATAATTTGTCTGTCAAAGCTTCCAAATCGGGTTAGAGCCTACAGTCGGCTTTCGTTGCCCCTTATCGTCTTTAGCGGAGTTTGAAAAGACTACCTTATATTCCCATTCCTTTTCAACTTCACCGCAGAAAATATTTTGCAGAATGCTTTGTCCTGTCAAAACGAAGTTTTTGATTTGTGGTTAATGATGACATCGCCTTTCTGGGTGACAATACACAAACAGCCCAGCTTGCTTTAAACCACTTTG